GGAATGTGGCACATGACCGGCACAGTTACGGATCTCAAAGAAAACGGCGGGCTTACCAGCCTGGAACATATCCCTATCCCTATGCTGGGTATCTCCTCATCACGATGCCAATCTTAGGGATTCCATTATTCTTTGAGGGCGAATCCCTAAGATTGTCGTCGCCTTTTGGCGTGTCAATCTTAGGGATAGGGGTACGCTCGAGGCTGGTAACGGGCGGCAGCACAGCGTGCAAAGCCACGACGTTCTCACAGTCCGGCGCGATATCACCGGGCCCCGTGGCCAGCTGCACGGCCGCCGAATAACCAGAGCGCTCAGCCGCCTGGGACGTCTGCGGCAGGTAGGCCCAGATTGGGCCGACAACCATGCAGGCCAGAGGGAACTCAACCAGAAACGATGCCCACAGCATGGTGCCCACAGCTGCATGTTGCTGTCTTTTTGGTGTGCAGGGTTGTTTAGATGCATGGTTTGTCATAGACGAATGCGCGCGCACAATACTATTTGACGAGAGTTAGGTAGAACGGGGGCGATTCCGGCCTGGTTGGGGTGGAAGTGGCCCATGCAGCGAATGAACGGTGGGGCATAATCCCGCGCAAAATAACTCCGGCCTCGGGAGGGTGGTGGATCAACATTCTTCTGTCGGAAGGAATACCAATGTGGTGCGGTCTACGCTGTCCAGCCCAGGTGATGCAATCTATGTGGTGCGATCTACGTTGTCACCCTATGTTATGGGATCTACGTAATGGATTGAATCTTGAAAGTCTAGGAGCTGTCAACTCCACTGCTCGCAAAATCATCCCACCCACCCAAGCGCAAATGGGTTTGCAAAACCCATGCGGCGGCGATTGTGATGCGTGTTCGGGATTGGCTGGGGCATCTCTGCGGCCGCGCTAGCCCGCGCATGCTCGCGCGCACAGCGGCCAGCTAGTTTGATGCGGACGACGCGGCCGCGGTGGCGCTGACCGAAGGGCACTTCCCAGCGGGCACTTCAGTGCGAGTCGGTGCCTTGGGCGGGCACGGTATGATGGCGAAGTCGACAGCGGCAGGCGTGATACTGATTGTAGCGATGATGGTGACGGTGATGACGATGGCAGCGGCAAGGCCAATGACGGCGCCGATGCTGATCACGCCCCCAGACGCCCCCCAAAGACCCCGACCCCCTGGAAGGCCCTGAAACGACCCCCCAAAAAACCCATGGCAATCCAAGCAGCTTTCAAAACAGCGCCACGAAGCTCTCAGAGAGCTTCACAGGGGCGCCTGCGCCAAGACCGCGACCTTGGACTTCGAGTTGTTCCCCCCCCCGCATCGGCGCCTCGGGCTGGGCGCGCGCCTCCCGAATAGCCGCAGGAGGCCCCGCAAAAGTGGGTCCAAACACGGGGTTCCAGGCGTCAGGGGGCCGCGATAAAAAAAATAGCCCCGGAGCCCTCGATGACCATGTCTGTTCGCCGCCCCTTCAATGAAGGGGCCCTGGGACACACAAGTAAATACACACAAACAAAAAGATTCCCCGTATTTTCACATTTTTTTTGGATTTTCGTCTTCCCCCCCCCACTTCCCATATTTTCCCATATGTTCTGGGAAATCGACGATTAATTGTGTCTGTGTGTTTCTTTCCATCCTGAACCATGTCTGTTCGCCGCCCCTTCCAGCATGGCAGACGCACCGTTGCAACGTCCGCCCGCCCCACACTCTTCTGCTGCGCCCCTGCCCAGGAGCCCGTCGCGCGCTGGCGCCGACGAGGCGCCCGAGGGGCCCGCTCCGAGCGACTTTTGCCCACTCGGCGCGAACGACCTACCCATGTTCACCTGCTTCCTCCGCAGCTCTTCTGCCTCTTCCCTCTCGTTGCGTTTCTTCTCTTCCCCGCCCTTCCCCCCCGCCCCCCCCCCCTGCAACCAGCGTTCGCCTTCGCGCCGTTCGGCGGCGTCGGCAGCGGCGCCTCCCAGAAGTTCACCGAGCGGGCATCGCCGCGCCGCCTGCGCTAAGACGCGTTTATTTCGTTTGCGGGATGTGCGACGCGGGCATCTCAAGCAGACGCGAACTCTGGCCCCAGCCCCACCTGGGCGCGCCGGCACGCTCGGGCGCTTGCCGACCGCGCGCCGTGGGCTCGAGGTCCTGTCTCCGCGCAGACTGCTTCCGCTCCCTCTCTCGCGCGCTCCGCTTCCTGCGCGCTGCTTCCGCGGCCTTGTCGCGAGGGCCCAGCGCTGCGCGACGCGCGAATCAACTCCCGCCCCAAGCGCTCTGCCGCATCGGCCATTCCCGGCGCGGCGACGCCCCGTTTGTTACAGCCTCCGCCAGCCATTCCGGCCCCATTCATCGCCCGCAAAACGCGCCGCGCCTCGCGCGGTCACCCCGCAAGCAAGCGCACAGCGCGTCGGCGGGCCCGCTTCCGCTTCCGTTTGCCCCTTGCGATTGGCCGCCTCGACGCTCGCTATTTTCGGCGCCGCGTCCTCATCTGCGCAGCTTCGACGCAATATCTGACCGATCCGCTAATTGTGCGTGCACCTGCGCCTGCGACTCCGGCGCATCTGCTCCGAAGCGCGCCAACGTCTCCCCGCTCGGACAGCGGGCGCGGGCACTCGCCTCGCCCCGCTGCGCAAGGCCCGCGCGTGAACTCCGCTTAAATTGAAGGGGCCCCAGGACACACAAATAAATACACACAAAAAGAAATATCCCCATATTTCCCTATATTTCCTGTGTTTTTGTCTTCCCCCCCACTTCCCATATTTTCCCATATTTTTATTATATTTCCCATGTTTTCCCCTCCTGATAAATTTGACGCCCGCGCACCTCGCGCAGCACTGCGCAGAGGGCGCGTCTGCGCTGCTCTGCGTCCCTGGACCCGTTGGCGCCCCCGCGTCGAGCTTCCCGGGCCGCCGCCCGCGCCCCTCCCCGACCGCCCCCGCGCCCGTCGCCGGCGGCCCGCACGTCGCGCGCCGCCCCTCGTCGTCGCCATCGAGATCCACAAGTAGGGGGCCACATGCGAACCCTATCCCTACCCCCCAAGATTTCTGAGGGGGAGGGTGGGATTCACTTCGTTCGGGAGCTCCCGAGCGAAGTGAACCCCACCCTCCCCCTCAGAAATCGTGGGGGGTAGGGGTAGGGTTCGCATGTGGCCCCCTAACAAGGCAGCGTACAACGCCAGCCCGTGTGTTCTCTGCGACCCAGGCTCCGCGAACGCCTCTTCAAGCAGCCTCCGCCCGCGCTGCCGGGGCGGGCGCCTCGCGGCGCCAGATCCGACCCCCAGTCCTCCCATCCCGCGCGCCTTCCTCGGAGAAGCTTCCACGCGCCCCTCCGCGCTGGCCCTTCGCTGCGCGGCCGCCAACCGCGCGGGCGAATGATCGGCGGGCGCCCCCCGTGTCGCGCGCGCGCCGTGGCCGCGCAGCTGGACATCCAGCTGACGCCGCGCCTGCCTTCGCTCCAAGTCCGCCATCGTCGGGAGCGGCCAAGAGGGGGGTGTCCAAGAGGGGGGGGTGCAAATCATGACCGGCGGCACGTGCGCGGCCCAGCGGGGGGCGCCAGGGACGCAATGAAACAAGAAGAGGCGCCATGAAATCCGGGGAAATATCATGGCCCCCGCCATGCCATCCACCCCCCCCTAGTCATCACCCCCCTCTTTGCCGCCCCCGAGTCTCGAGGTTCCCGATGAACTCCGGCTCCTGCTCCTGCTCCTCCTCCTCCTCCTCCTCCTCCTCCTCCTCCTCCTCCCTCCTCCTCCTCCTCCTCCTCCTCCTCCTCCTCCTCCTCCTCCTCCTCCTCCCTCCTCCTCATCGCCCCCCTCTTGTCCGCCCCCGAACTTTCCTCGGAGAAGCTTCGCGCGCCCTTTCGCGCTGGCCCTCCGCTGCGCGGCCGCCCACCGCGCGGGCGAGAATGGTCGGCGGGCGCCCCCAGCGTCGCTCGCGCGCGCCATGGCCGCGCAGCGGGACATCCAACTGACGACAGGGAACAGTTGTTTATAAGGCAGAGGAACGGAGGAGGAGGAGGAGAGGAGGGAGGGAGGGAGGGAGGGAGGGAGGGAGGGAGGAGGAGGAGGAGGAGGAGGAGGAGGAGGAGGAGGAGGAGGAGGAGGAGGAGGAACTGCCGCCGCGCCTTCGCTCCAGGTCCGCCGCCGCTGCCCCCCCGCCGCCCAGGCCCCGGGAGCGGCGCGCGCCGCCGCGGCCGACGGCGGGGCGACCATATCGGCTCGAAGCGCCGTCGCGCTCGGCGCCCGCCCCCCGCCGACGCGGGCCCCAAGACAACCGGCGCCCCCTCGAAGCCACCGTCGGGGCGCCGACCTAAGGAACCCTAAATCAGGAACGAGGCCCCCTGTTTCCCAGAAGTGAAGCTTCGATTCCCCATGCAAGACCCCAGGAAAACCCTGGGCAAACTGTAAACCAATCGAGGATCCTCCTCCTCCTCCTCCTCCTCCTCCTCCTCCTCTCCTCCTCCCCCCTCCTCTCCTCCTCCTCCTCCTCCTCCTCCTCCTCCTTTCGAAAGGGTTCTTCTTGCGTGCTGTTGGGCACGGCCGGGGCCCCGGAGCCCGGCAGACGACGTGCGCCCGCGCGAGAGGCTAGCGCGCCGACCCTCGAGAGGTGCAGCGCCGCCACCTCGCCTCCGCCCCCCCGAAGGCCCTCGCCTCCCGACATCTGTCTGTCCTTCTTTTTTGTCGTTGTGTTTGTTTCGCTCGCTCTCTCTCTCTCTCTCTTTTGTCGCTCTCTCCCTCTCTCTCTCTCGCTCTCTCTCTCTCTCTCTCTCTCTCCTCATGTCCCTCTGCGCCTCTCTCTCCCCCTCTTTGCGTCTCACTCGCTCTCTTTTTGTTTGTCTTTCTCTCCCTCTCTCTCTCTGTCTCTGTCTCTGTCTCTGTTTCTGTCTCTCTCTCTCTCTCTCTCTCTCTCTTCGTCAAAAAATATGTACGTTCCTCATATCCCTCTCCCTCTCCTTCCCCCTCCCCACGTGCTGTTCCTTCTTCTGTGCTGATACATGTTCCCCGTCATTGCCTGCCATCGCGTTTTCCCCCGACCCCGCGCCTCCCGCTCGCCCATCGAAACTCCGCCCCAGCGCAAGCTGCGACGTGGCCCTTCGCCCGCCTGCGCCGGCGACGTCTCCGACGCGGCGGTCGGGCCCCCGAGAGCCTGCGCAGGCGCGGCGGCGCGCGGCCCGCGAACGCGTCGCGCAGAGAGGAATGCGAAGCAGAGCTTCTAACCAGCCTCGAACGTATCCCTATCCCTAAGATGGGCGAGCCAAAAGCGCGGACAATCTTAGGGCCAGGCCCTCAGAGACTGAGGGAATCCTCAAGATCGGCATCGAGGTGGGGTGATGTCAAACATAGGCATAGGGATATGTTTCACGCGACCGAGACTTGCGGCGCCGTCCGCGGCGCAAACTCCAAGCGGCGCGCCGCGCGACGCCGCGAGCGCGGCGGCGGATGCAAGTGGGGGGCCGACGGAGAAAAATGCCGATACAATCTGAATGCAACCCAAGTCATCGGTGCCCCCTGCGTCGCAACAGCGCCATCGATCATCCGCCCGCACACGCGACCCTGTCCGGCAAAATCACCGAGCGCCTCTCCGCATTGCGCTCGGCGCGGAAGCGCGTCTTGAAAATTTCCCGGCGCGTGCGTTTGGCCTCGCCCACTCGCCCCGCCCTGCTCATCGACGCCGCCCCTGCTGCAAATGGAACCCACTTTAACTGTTACTGTTCTGTATATATATATATGTATATATATAAATATATACCGGATCGGACCCCTCGGAGGCAGCATTACAGATGTCTCAGACGCTGAGTGCCTCTAGGATCGGGCTACGCCCGAAAATATACCACGCAGTCACACACTGACAGGAAACGAAATGCAGGTCTTAGCGCCTGCTCGTGCCTACAAGTCTCATGATGGCATCCATCGTCCTTGAGTCGCCACCTGTGCTTTGTCTGGCAGCGGTGGAGGGAAAAGACGTGCCACGGAAATTATATGTAAAAGTATTGCGAGCTAGCGGTGGGGCGGAAGGCCTGCGGGGCCTCTTCTGAGGGGGAGGAGGAAGAGGAGGCTCAGAGGACGGAGGAGGGGGTTCAGGGACACTGGGCAGGCTAGGCTCATGGTCCTCAGGGCGTCTCTGCTTTCCATCCTGGGCAAGGGCGTGGGCATGTGCTAACAGCGAAGCTGTCCACATCTCAGTACGAGTACGCGAAGGGGTAGCGCACGTAGGTGTTCGATGTGGGTTTCCCATGCCCTGTACCAATACCATTGCTGAGGGCGCACTCGTGGATGTAATGGGTAGGCAGTCCATGCCTTGAACAATTGCGGTAGTGGTGGGCACACTCCGTGATGCTTGTGGCGGGCCTCTCATGCCTTGAGCTGTTGGCGTAGAAGTCGGCGCGCTCGGCGATGCAACAGGTAGGCTCTCCACGTTTTGGCCAACTGCGGTAGGCGCACTCTGTGAATCAAACGGCGGGCTCTCCAGGCCCTGAACAACTGATGGTGCAGGCACACTCTGTGATGCAGTAGGTGGGCCCCCCAAGCCCTGAACTGCTGGCTTCGGAGGAAGCGCATTCAGGGTTGCGTGTAGTGGGCTCTCCATGCCCTGGACGGTTGACGTAGGAGCTGGCGCATGCCCTGAAGCAGTCGCAAGGCTCCGCTTGCCTGTCGTCGCAGTATTCTTCAGAATACAAGAGTCCCATTGTGCACAGCCATGCCTTGCACCGCTGGAGGCGTGGAGGTCTATCCCGTGGTCACGTACTCTAGCTGCGTCTGCTTCATGTGGAAGATCCTCTCCATGAACGTCATCGGTCCCTGGCCTGGCTTGTAGATAGCTCCCGTCTGAATGGGTGATTCGTGAATCACACTGAGGTCGGCGTCGCTCTTGGGGTTGAGGCTGTTCTGGAGCTTGCACTGCGCAGCGTCGTGTATGTCGCTGGCCTTCACGGGCGGGGTGAGCTCGGCGACCTGCCTGCTGTCCATGGTCTTCAGCTTCGCGCCCAGCGCCGTCAGGTTCTGCTTGTTGAGGCCGCCGACGGACGCGCCTTCCTGATGGTGACCTTCGGGCAGACCTGCGAAGGCTGCGGTGCAGATCCTGCCGCTCTTCGCCAGCTGCGCATCGATCTGCTGTGCCGTCGTAGTGCTTCGAATATTTTCGGCTCTTTTTCTCTATGCGTGCGCGCGAGCTCGGATCGCCACGACGTTGTTCGTGCCAGGTGGGGCGAGGTACGCCTTGATCAGTATGGCATCGGTCTGGTGTTGCTTCGTCACCACGTTGGGTAGTAGCTTCATGACAATGTGGCTCATGTGCTGGATATCTTTCAGTTCCATCTCCTCCAGGTAGAGCGACTGCGGGTCCACCATCGTGTACTTCGACCCACTCTGCTGGTTTCCACGGTCGTTGGGCTGGCTGCGTCGGGACTTGTGAGCATGCTGTGTCGCTTCTGCCGCGGCTGCGTCTGCGAGCTCTCCACCGCTGGGCAGTGAGCTCATCCACTACCTGAGGGCGAGGTTCGGGAAGGTGCTCAGTCGCAATGTGGGCTTGCAGCTCGTCGAGGGTAGCGTAGGTGAGCTCGCAGGCGTCACTTGGGCAAAACAGCTGCGGTGGATCGTTCACCTCGAAGTTGTATACAGAGCGGTGTTTTTGGCATCGCCCAGAACGATAATCGGCAGCAAGATGGTTGATCGCTGTCTGTCGGCTCGCGAAGGTCGATCGGCAGTTAGAGCATTGGTTCGTAATCGTGAATCTCGTGTGTTCGCATGTACGTCCGTGCTCACCTCCCTCCCCACTCATCGTCTGGTGTACTCGGAGCGCTTGTTTTGTTTCGGCCGTGAACAGGCAGATTGCTCCATCCGCGCATAGAAGGCCACACGTATGGGGGCTGCTCCAGGCGACAGTTGCATCTGGAGCACTGCGGGGTGGTGGGGCAGGCTGTGCAATCCACCACTTTCGTGCACGTGCAATCGTTAGCTTGATAAACACGTCTCGACCAGGTGTCGGTCGAAAAATGTCGAGCAAATCGTCGCCAATGACGTCTAGGCATTCTCGTCCGTCTGCAAATACATTCAGCAGCTTCACGTCGTCAAAGAACTGCTTGCGCCAGGGATTGGCCATATGTGTGGGTCCGTTACCAACTGTGGAGCCACGGCTATTGTCTGTAGATGCTGTGCGCACAGGGGCCCATGCGAAGTCCAACGTCGTCGTTGACTCGCAGAGTAGTTTGCCAAAAACACAGGCTAGTAGTTGCGCGTGCTGGCCAGGTTCGCGCGCAGCTCGTTGCCATCGCTTGATACGCACAATCTGTAAGTCCAGGGAAGGTGGTACCATCTTCAATTGTTTCCATACTGCATGAGTTGATATGTTGCGAACGGCCTCGGTGGTGCCAGAGGTGACGTCGTCGTCGGCGTACTGCTTGATATATGCGGTACCTTGAAGTAGAGCTCGAGCGTAACGCGCGACACAGGCGTCTATCTGATCGAGTTGTGCTTTTGTCAGTACACGTGCTTCGAGTCCAGAGGTGGCGGCGGATGATACCTGACTTCTGAAAACCATTTTGCGACGTCTCAGGTATCGGCAGTTCTTCCAGAAACGTCCCATACTCCGCCATCCTCGGGCCGCAGCAGTACACCGTTCTTTCACTTCGGCGTGGTTGTGACCGTTCGCCTGCATGATGGAGCCTAGGAACAAGCTCGATGAGTGTACTTCGCCTTCAACTGGTATCTTGCGATAATGCAGGGCGCGCGCATATCTGTGAGCGCCAGTGCCGACGAACGTCGGTAAAGAGCCGTTTTCCCCGCGTTCTGCTGTAGTCCGATGATGCGCAGCTTGTCGTTCAGGATCTGGTCGGATTGTTGAACTTTGTAGGCCGCCATCTGCGCATCATGACACATGTGGGTCTTGGTGAGGTCGTCGGCGTACTTGCGAACGCTGAGGTCGACGTTGGTGCCAGTGAACTCGCACCCTGCCACCATCGATGTACTTATATCGGTAGTGAGTGCATCGTTCCATTCGGTAGTGGGCTGCATGAAGGCCACGCGGAACTTGATCGCAGCGTCGGCGTCTCCCACGAAGCAGCCTACAGTGTTCTGGTAACCTTGAGTGCCGGTCCCATCGCTAATCACACACGCTGCTCGACGATGCCTGCTTTTCATGATCGTACAGTCGCCAGGTAGGTATATCCTGTCCACAGCATCGTCGAGGTAGGAATGGTTAACTGAAGCGAAAGCGTTCGTCATGTCATGCTTAGTGGTAATGTGGCTTCGTTGCTGCTTGGTGAGGCGCCACTGCAGTGCTAGCCCGACTGTAATCGCTGCAGAGCGTGAACGTGCTCGCGCGTAACCGTGCTCAGTGTCATGCAATGGCGTGGTTGTGAGTGACTGTCTTGAGGCAACCCATGTCTTTCCAAACGTACATAATCCATGTAGTAGTCGATTGCCTCGTGTACGTGGTTTATTGTTCATCTTGCTTACTTGATAAGTCTGGGATAGGTTCCACCAAGCATTGAGCCGTTGGTGCTGACGATCCGCGGCGAGTTGGGTGAGGATCGCATCGCTGAGGAAGGGGCCAGGGAAAGTCAACGTGTGGTCGTACTCGCGGCTGCCGTCCTTACTACAGTCATCACTTCTATCGACGAGCAAAAGAGACCAGATTTCTGCAGGTAGCGACCATTCGGGAGCAGCTCGTCGGCGTTTGCAATTCTCCCGTAGCTGGCGTTTGATCGCGTCAAAGTCATACTGGGCGTGTCTCCATTGATGTGCAGAAGGGCAGAAGCGCTCGTCGTTCGACGCAGCAGTGTCGATGAAGTGCTCGATATCAATCGGTGCCGCCTCCATTCCTCCTTCCGCGCCAGGGAGTGCCATATCTTCAGTCCATGTTTGAACAGAGGGGCGCGCATCGGGGAGATCGAAGTAGCACCGTTTGCCAGGGCCCTTTCCATTGCCTGCAAGTCGTCGACACGCTCGCCAAACCTCTGCTTCCAGTCCTGCCTCGTCGGCTTGTTGTAGTTCGCGAAAGTGCTGCTCATCTCGGAGGTCGCGTAGTCGGCGTCGAAGTTTTTTGCATGCAGCACTGCAGCGGTGAAGAGCAAGCGTGTCCTCAAGGTCGTCTGTTAGGTTCTGCCGAGCTTGTGTACGTGCGTGTAGAGCTTGACGACGTTGCTCTGC